AATATATATATATATATATATATTGCAGCATTTTACTCAACTCCCTCAATTTAAAGTCTTAAGTATTTGTGTGCATACATTTGCTATGAAATTCACCTAAACGTATAAAAAAAATTCATACATATAAAATCATTTAAAATTCTTGTTGCACTTCCTTTCATGTTTTAAATATTCATATTATATAATTTTAAATATTTTAAACTAATAACATGATTTGAAAGAAAATGTTAAAGATTCTATTATTTTTTGTTTTTTTGTATAAAAAATTTACTTTCCTTTTAAAACCCATGGTAGCCCGCGGGACTGCCAATTTAGTAGGCGAGCATAGCTATGAAATTATAAATAGAGTTCGTGCTTAAGCCCAATTCGAACCCAATTTGATTAGTTAGGGCACGAATAAGCCTGACGTACGCCTAACTGGCCGACTTAACGCCCAGGTATAGATTCGAGTCTGCCCCGAAAAGGACAAGACTCGATTATGATAAACTCAAACGAGACTCAAATAATAAACTGGTCGAAAACTAAGACTTGAACCCGAACTCGAGCTTGACCCGCAAACTCGAACCCAACCATAACTGTTGTGCTTATACACATTATCTTTAGGTTCTCAGGTTCAAACTGAACCTGATCCAAATAATAAACCGGTCAAATTCTCTGACCCAAACCCGACTAAAAAAATATTTGGGTTAATCCCAAGTCCCAACCCGCGAGTGGAGTTCAAATCGTGGTAACACGTTGGGACGATTTTTGACACCTGTAATAAAGGGTCTGCTTGGCGTAGTTGCAGCTTATTAATAAGATGCTGATAAGCAACTGCCCCAGAAATTTACTACGCAATAGCTGTTAAGGATAAACCGACAGGTTGTTTAGTTTGTGCTGTTGGAAAATAAATGTTTTGCAATTGTTTCTGGACAAATGAACATTCAACCACGTGTAGTATTGTTGTTTGTAACAATACTATCATACACAATATATTTGATACTCGAGAAACAACAATCCACTTTAGAACAATAAATAAAATAAAATACACACCTCACTTAATAATGAGTATCATGATTATTAAAATAAAAACCAATTAACCACCAAAGCACAACAACCACCATAACCCAGAGCAACCATAGCGCACCGACATATGTTTTGAATTCACATAACAACTGCAGCCCACAACAGAGCAACCACAAGCCAGAACCATCGCCCCAACCCAATATCAACCACCACAACCACACAACTTGAATAAATATCCATTATGTAATAACATACATGTTAATAACTCCATAGTTGGTAGGTAATGTGAAGTACATCACTTACAAAGAAGGTTAAAAACTCAGTAGTGGTGGAAGTAAAAAGGAATCCTATATTGTAGTGGAAAGTAGGAATATCTGCTATATAGTTACATGATGGAGTCATATGCAATTATTTTTTGGTAATATTTTATAGTTTATTGCATCTTCCCAAAGTAACTTAAGACTTCCCTCGCTCCATGCTTGCTCGAGAAACTCTCATCTCCTAGAAAAATCTAGAACTACAACATTTGAGGTAGAAAATTCACAGCAAGTCAAGTTCTCATTAGGCATGCCAATTGATAGAAAAACCAAAATATTCAAAACAATGGGCACCGTTAAAGGAGCCTGTAATCACTATACCCTAATTTAGTTGAGAATCTAACTAGTTCCACCAGCCACTCCTCTTTCATTTAACCATGCTTCCACTCTGAAATAATCAACCTCAATCTTCCACACCAACGCAAAACCGCAAAACCAGCAAGAGAAAAAGCCACATCAACGCAAAACCACAAGAGAAGAATCAATCGCAAAACCGTAAAACCAACAAAAGAAGAACCAATCACAAGATCATAATGCCAAAGAAAAGTTCAAAGTCCATACCGTGGAGAAGTGAGAAGGGGGAGGGAGAAGTTGACGCCCCAAAACATTATATCCAAACGAAAAAATAATAATTTTGTGCAGCTTGGAGTCGCGTCATGCGAGAAACGCGACCAAAGTTTCTCTCCCTTCCTCTCTCTCTCTCTTTATATATATATATATATATATATAAGTTTTTGAATGGCGTACAAGAGCTCGGCTAGGGTTTCGAATGGCGATTTTTGTCACGATTGATTCTGTCGTTCGAAGAACACATCGTCTCTATTGTAGACTTTCCGCTTCCGCTCGTTTTCTACTTCGTCGACTCGCGTCCTTCTTCGACATCGACGGTTCGTCTGCATCTCTCGATTTCGATGAAGACGCGTTCACATATGCGCCTTCAATTTAGACGAAGACATCCAGCTGGTCCATATGTTTGCGTCTGCGCAGTTTCCAAGCTTCGGTTCAAGTTTTTGTTCGACGACAACGCGTTCGCATCTGCTCGAACCTACGTCCCGTTCGTCAGCGACAGTTGGCAAGTTGCGCCAGTTGTTCCTGCTGTGCCTGTGTGAATCACTCTAATGGCCTCAGGGCTTTCCTACGTCATCGCCCTCATCGGTGCTAATCCCCCCAAACCCTCTGATGTTACATTGGTTCACAAATGCAGCTCCCCTTTCCACCTGCAGATAGTCAGATGTTCCCACAGATGTATCGTGGTTCTGTTGCAGGACATGGAGATTGCAATCTCATAAAAAAGTAGAGAAAAATTAAGACTTCCCTCGCTCCATGCTTTCACTCTGAAATAATCAACCTCAATCTTCCACACCAACGCAAAACCGCAAAACCAGCAAGAGAAAAAGCCACATCAACGCAAAACCACAAGAGAAGAATCAATCGCAAAACCGTAAAACCAACAAAAGAAGAACCAATCACAAGATCATAATGCCAAAGAAAAGTTCAAAGTCCATACCGTGGAGAAGTGAGAAGGGGGAGGGAGAAGTTGACGCCCCAAAACATTATATCCAAACGAAAAAATAATAATTTTGTGCAGCTTGGAGTCGCGTCATGCGAGAAACGCGACCAAAGTTTCTCTCCCTTCCTCTCTCTCTCTCTTTATATATATATATATATATATATAAGTTTTTGAATGGCGTACAAGAGCTCGGCTAGGGTTTCGAATGACGATTTTTGTCACGATTGATTCTGTCGCTCGAAGAACACATCGTCTCTATTGTAGACTTTCCGCTTCCGCTCGTTTTCTACTTCGTCGACTCGCGTCCTTCTTCGACATCGACGGTTCGTCTGCATCTCTCGATTTCGATGAAGACGCGTTCACATATGCGCCTTCAATTTAGACGAAGACATCCAGCTGGTCCATATGTTTGCGTCTGCGCAGTTTCCAAGCTTCGGTTCAAGTTTTTGTTCGACGACAACGCGTTCGCATCTGCTCGAACCTACGTCCCGTTCGTCAGCGACAGTTGGCAAGTTGCGCCAGTTGTTCCTGCTGTGCCTGTGTGAATCACTCTAATGGCCTCAGGGCTTTCCTACGTCATCGCCCTCATCGGTGCTAATCCCCCCAAACCCTCTGATGTTACATTGGTTCACAAATGCAGCTCCCCTTTCCACCTGCAGATAGTCAGATGTTCCCACAGATGTATCGTGGTTCTGTTGCAGGACATGGAGATTGCAATCTCATAAAAAAGTAGAGAAAAATGCAGAAAACAAACACTATGCTTCTTTGACGCTGAAATTTCAACTCGTGCAGGGAAATACAGATTTTTACTTGTTGGAAAGTTCCAATTAGATCGCCCTAAGATGGAAATTAGATCGCCCTAAGAATTAGATCGCCCTAAGATGGAGATTATCAGGAAGATTTTTTAAGATTTCAAACTAGTTGGGGCTTCGCAGGTGGGTCTTTTCGACGGAAGACATGTTATGATACAGCTGAACATAGAAGAATATTACTTACGAATTTTCTCAAAGAAATTAATCACAATCAAGAGAAATCATATGAAATTGCTCAAATGAACCCCTGATTTTGATCTCAATCAAGAACCCCCGATCTCAATCTCAATCAAGAACCCCCAATTGTGTCTATCTGGTTCTCATTACCTGAACTCAAGCTTCAATTCTTTGATCTACCTATCTTATATGCAATTGAGAGTTTTATTGGAAAACCTTTGTGGGTATACACACCTACAGTTTATTTCTTAAAACCCTCTATTGCAAGAATTTTGATTGAAAGATACATTATACTATAAGATGTAGAAGAAGTCTTTCTTGGCTCTGCTCACAATGATTATTGACAAAAAATCATTATGAAACAAAAACTCAACTACTGCAAACACTTCAAGATGTTTGGACACCCGCAAGAGAAATGTTTGAGATTGCACTCACAATTGAGAACCAATAGTCAAAATAGGAAATGTTGTTGGTGAACCCCACATGCCTGAACTCGCTCCCAGCAGACCTTATGACAGCCAACTTGATAAGGGAATCACCACTAGACAGGAAACGATGTCTGCCCCTTGGAACCCTTCTCTTGACCATACTATAAGGGATAATGTTCGAACTGAAAGTCAGGATAACCCCGCAGTTCATATTCAGAAAGCATCAGGTGTAGCGATGACAATCCACACTTTACATACACTGGAATTTATCGCTATGACAACGACTGTCTTTCCTTCTACTGTGATTCTAATATCTAATTAGATCGAGGATTACATGAGACAGTCTTCAGATGAAAAATGACATGTATACAATTTTCGAGAGAAGAAGAAAGCTGAGGGCACACTCCAACTTGAAAATTTAATAGATGATACTTTGGTTACTCATGACAATGACAAGATGTTTTAAAGTTTGTTACCTGGTTCTGCTCGTAAAACTAGTGAAAGAGACATGACTAAACTGACTCATTCCTAACAACCTGTTTTTGACATGTTTTAAATTTTTTGAGTCAATCTGCATCTTTTTGTCGGGGTAATATTGTACTTGATATCATATGAATATGGTGCCTCTGCTGGATCCTCTCATACAACCTTTATGTGCCTTTTTTATTTCAATAAAATAAGCTTTTGGGCTTTTCATAAAAAAAAAAATGCATATATATATACTGCATTGGTAATTAGGGACGGATGGGCCTGATATTTTCTTAGAGGCAGCCATGCCACCTCAGGATTGAATTGAAATTATAAATTTGGGCCGGAAGGCCCAGATATTTTCTTAGCGGCAGCCATGCCACCTCAGGAGCAGTGGAAGCGGCCGCGATCATAGGTTGCGCGGCATAAGAGGAGCAGCCTCTTGAGGTGATGGTCTCCGGCGATGCTGCCAAAGAGTACGCGGCGGGCTTTGCCGCCGGTATCGCGATGGTCATCACTGGTCATCCCTTCGATACTGTCAAGGTCAGCTTTCTCACGCATATTCCGAAACCTATCTAGAATGGATGATCTTTGCACAGAATGTTCTCAATTCTAAGTTGGATTCCTTTTCTTAGTGTTGACTTTGATTGAAGATCTGGAGATCTTTACATTGATTCCTATGCGGTGCCTTATTGTTTTATTGACAGGCTTTGCTGCTTGACATGAGATAACTTCACAAAGTTGAATAGACTAATCTAGGAGTGTTTTATCTATGGATCTATGGTCCTGAAGGAGACGGAGTTGATCCTTAATGAAAATTATGTTATGCGAAATATTTGGAATGTAATTCAACTAGAAAACTATTGGGATGAACAACCAAATGAGTTGAAGATGAAGGTTAACAAGTGTCAAAGATCACATATTACATATACTCCTTGTTGTGTATCGGAAAATTCACAATGGTAGAACAATAAATTAATGTCTTAGCCTTGCACTAAAATTCAACACACACACATATAATTGAAGAGTAGCAGGAGAAAACAAGATTTTTTACATGAAAAAATCATAAAGAAAAAAAACTACGAGGTCTGACCCAATTAAAATGATTCACCGTGAGTGTGCAATTACAAAGATATACAATTTTCACATAATCGGGAGAGCATAGTTACAACTTTACACAAAATACAACATCTGTATACAACAAAGAGAAAACTTTAGGAGTTTGGAAAAAGTCATCGTTTTATGAGTACGACGGTCTTTAGCTGTTGTCGTCGCAAGTTATCGTGATATCTTCAATACGACGTTATTTGTTGCACTGTATTTGAGATACGATGTTAGCAAACAGAGTTAGCGGACGACATCAATTAAGGGTGACCGACGGACAGTAGCCGACTGTGGTCGACAACTACGAAAACCGGAAGTTATCGTCGAGTCTTCCGTCCAGAACAACACTGGAGTTTGATTCCTTCCCCCTCCCCTAAGTAAAGAGCGGGGGTCTATTTATTGCTCTTATGGGAGAGACATTTTGGTTATTCGACAAATAACTTTCATAAACGCCCAATTGAACGACCCCTATTGACCTCCTCGATCATAGGAGATTCTTGATGATTTGAGGATCTTAATAAGCTCAAAATTAAGAGATCTTGGGCTCGTTGGATTCCTCTCGTCGAGGCACTAGATTTGACCATAGGTATGTCAAATCTAGAGTTCATTTGATAATTCCATTGATGATCTAAAGCTTCCAAATATGCTTTAATAGTTTGATTTGGACATTTTTGGACCAGATTGAACTAATTTTGGTATCATCGGATTGGTCTTGTTGAGACTGTTAGTTTGACTATAAATTTGTTGAAATCGGGACTCTTGATAATCTTTAATTTAAATATGGGACATTTCTTGCCCAAAAATGACTCAAGATTCATGCCAAATAGTAAAATTTCTTGATGACGCTTCACTCCTCTTTGTATATAACAAAACAAAAGGGCTCGAAGATACATGAAAGTCTCACTTCAAGAAGGAGAATGACAATATTTGAGCGGGAAAAAAAAATCCTTCAAACATAGGGGAAAATCATAGGGCTTTAGTCTTCCAAAATCTCCAATTTTCTTTTAGGCTTTCATCTCTTTGAACTTTTGAGTATTCCATGGCTATCAAGAGTTCAAAACTCTTTCTTCACATCAAGGCCTCACTAAAGAGGTGGATTACAAAGAGAATGCGAGCATGAGGAAAGATTTACAACAATTGAGTGAAAAAATATATTTGTTCATCAAATTTGAGTTGGCTATGATGAGAACCTTACTACCAAGAAAATGGCAAGAAAGGGATCAAGATATTGGAGGGATGCTTGAGAAAAAAATGCTCTTGGGTTTTCCCCAGTTCTTCTTCTTCCATCCCCTCATTTTCCCTTCCTCCTTTTTCTTCTTCTTCACCTTAGAGCGTCAATGCTTCATGCTTGCTCACAGTCGGATGGATGGTTGCCCCTATATATATTTATATTTAACATTTTTCTGTAAGCTCCCTTTTTGAAACTTTGAAGTCATTTGCATTGCATGGGTCCTGCACTAGAGGGGAATCCAAACCAAAAATTTTCTCCTCCCAACTCATGTGGAAATCCACCATATCCTCTTTCTCAAGCTAAAAACTTGACTTGGTGAGTGACAAAGACTTGGTCATCATATCTTTTATTTGTATTGATTTTTTTTCCTTTGAAGGCTTCATCCTTCAATACATTTGTAATTGATTGATATCTTAGATCAATGCGCTTGGACTTACCATTGAAATTTTGCTTCTTTGCATGATGAATGGCACCATGACCATTATAACAAAGAAGATACATTATATGCTTAATCCAAAGCCATTGTGGAAACTCTTTATCCACAATAACTATTTGCAAGTTTCTTCGTTTCAGTTGGTGTGAACCTCATTAGGCAAATTTAGCATCTATGACATTGAAGCTAGGTAATGGTGATTGTGAACTGGTGATACTTCTCTGATCATTGAGCAAAAGATAGGCAAGGGACAATCACTTATTCTTAGGTGGGTGAAATATCCGGAGCATAAGTTGATCCATTATACTTGTAGATGGAGACCCATGAACCCAAAGTGTTAGTCCAATGAGTAAGGCAACCAATGCTTTACTAAGATTAAACACACATTTTACTTCTAATGTGGGATACTGGGATTTATTTTAACTCTCTTGTGGATTCTAATCCCCTCCCTCCTGAAAAAAAAAAAAAAGATTTTCAATAGTAACAAGCATCGCGCTTAAAGAGCGAGCTCAACAATCCCCAATAAGGAGCATGCACTAAAAACGCTATCTACTCAATTATGCGAAGCCTGTACAAGAATCATATGCTTTTGAATCTTGCTTCCAAGATAGATGATATAACTAGACATGAGAGTCATAAATTGCATGAATCACTTAACTATCAATTGTGACAAAATTTTAGGAGCTTGAAATGTGGGAATTATTTAACCATCATGTGGATCATATTAACCCTACCACCGAGAAAAAAAGAAAGCTTTTGCACGCTAACTAGTATCATGCAAAGAGCATACTCAATCATCTCTACTTAACAATATGAAGACTGCATAAGAGTAATACAATTTCGAAACTCACTTGACCATGATAGATACCGTGGAGAGCAAAGAGTGTGGCACACTTCATAAACCACGTGATCGCAATTGTACTATGAGCTAAATCACTGCTAATTAGGACAGTGAAATTATTGGGAGTAGAGCCCAATAAATTAGTAGATGGAAGCCCATCAACCCAAAAGCTTAAAGATAATGGTTTAGAGCCATTACTGTTATATTTATAACTCATATCATTTCACCTGTAATGTGCATTTTTTGCGGTTCTCATTTGAGGCTTAACAATCGGGCATTATTTGGAAAAAAATGCAAGATAAAAGTGGAGTTGAAATGAAAATTGAAAAAGAATTTAACATAAAAGACAAGAAATTTGCATTGTTCTATAAGATTAACTTATTATGTTCACAGGACAAAATATTGTATTGAGAAGGGTATACAATATTCTCTCCTCTTTACAAATTTTGGGAGAAGAATAATGAATGATCTGGTAATATAATCTGAGATTGATTTAAAAGAACCAGAGTTGTAGTCCTTGCTCAGACCAATAAGGTATGTTCTAGCATCATTAAACTTACCTTAAACTCTACTACTCTTGCTTATGATGCCACTGTGATTTTCAACTTGTACTGCCATGCTTGCATTGACATCACCTTGCTTGCTTTACAATGGCACTTACTAACATGACCTCATACAAAAGAGTCGAGCAAATTTTGATCTCTTCATTATTTTTTTTTATCTGACCGATTATTTTACTCACCTTGACTAGCTCCATAGATGCTTTCTTATGACTCGAGGTAATGAAAACACAACTTGGTTAATTTTTGATTTGAGGTCCATTATAATATGTTTTTGGACATTTTCTTATCTATAACCATAAGTCAAACAAAATTATTTCTATTTCTAAAACTATCCATTTTGAATTTGGTGTTTATCTTGTAAAGAAAAATTGGGCTTCACTAGAATAACGATCTCACATGGAGGGTGGATTTTTAGTGTATTGAATTTTTAAAATTATATTTTCGACACATATTATGAATTATTTGTGGAGGTTAATAGAGGTTTTAAAATGCCTCATCTTGTAAAACTGACTTTATAAGCATGTCAACATGTTTCTCGAACACTTTAATTTTGTTCAATGGCTAGTCAGACTTAACTAATTTTCAAGTTGAATATACTTATTTGGGAATTAAGCGTTGGCTTTTTTGGTAAATTTAATACTGCTGTTGATGCTAATAAAAAAACATTGTGATCTTATTTTTTTTCTAATGCTTTTAAGAAGTTCTTTGACTATGTTTTTTCTTGATGATTTGAGTAATTGTGATGGTTCTGCTTTTGTAATAAAAAATATTCATATCCTTTGTCTTTGCAACTTTTAATTGAGTACCAGCCATGATATAATATATTCTATCATGCTTTAGATATTTGGATGACCATGATATGCATTGATGTAGCCCTACTATTTTATGTCGCTTTAGTAAGGTCAGAGGCATTAATTATAGTTTTTAGGTAACACAGAATTCACTTCACCACATTTTGAATCTTATTTTTTTTCGGATTTTTCTTAACTATTTTATAGTTCCCACTACATGAGTTATATTAAGTTTTGTGCACACCATAACATAAGTTAGTGGACTCATTGTTGAAGATAATAAAGTTTGATTATATATTTTATCTTCTTAGTTTAAAATGATTGTTGTTTAAGGAGTTTGAAGTGGCCAACTAAGCGTGTATTTACAAGCTACAATATTCCCTTTAGCTTTTTCAGATCTCCTCAAAGCCTTGATATATTCTTCCTAAAATAATTTTACTGTATCAAGGCACCATTCAACACCGCCTTTGAAGGAGAAAGAAGGGCCCCATTTAAAAAAAGATAAATTAGGATATATGGGAGGCATTATCAATGCTATCATGTGTCCTTTTGATACACGCTCATGGGGACCGTATATCAAAGGCGGTGTCCAAATTAATAGTTTCTTATAATTTCTCTTTTTATAAAAATTCACACTCCTTCCCTTACTCTTCTCGCATTTTTTTCCTTCACACAGGAATTTGATCCCCTTTTTTATCACTCAATGTGCCTCCTTGCCTCCCACCTTACAAGTTCATTGACTTCCACACAAAAAATCATATGACACTGAGCATGACATTAAGGAGGGTTTTTAGGCTTTCTGCGAGCTTCATGTATGTGCCTTTCTTTGCATTGTAAGGAGTTTTATTTTGTTGTTGTATATACATCTTTTTAATGTGGTTGGTGACACATTTTCGGATGTGGGTGACTCTTAACATTGTTTATATATATCTTTTTTAACATGTTGGGAAGCCCTGAAAACTTGCTTTACAGTAGTCAAAAGGGTTTTGAATGATATAGCTCATTTCTTCCATATCATGTATGAAATTTTGGTTCATATATTAGCCAGTCCAAAGAACTTTTTTGAGTCATGTTCATTTAGCTCAGAATACCAATTCAATTTAGTTGAGATTGATATTAGGGAAAGCTACCGGATAATGATATAATGGTTCACTAGCATTATAGTAATAGTTCTAATGGTTGTTTTTCATTCGCATGTTGCTTTACTGTCTTATATTTTGAGAATGCCAATTACTTCTAAAATCAATAAAATAGGAGAAGGGCATTGACTTCTGTCGTCAATTTTTTGGATTACATCACGCCTGTTTTTGTGTCCGGCAGTTTTAAATAGTGCCACATTTCCTATTTTAGAAACTAATATCAACGTTTACTTCTTGCAGGTGAAGTTGCAAGCTCACAACACTAAAACACAAGTAAAGGAGTATAGGAACGCGTTACACTGTACTAGACGGATAATAAGCACTGAAGGAGTATGATTCTGCTCTCATTTGTTTTTCTTGAAATTATATTTCTTACTTGATTTGTATAATTTTATGGTTTAGAGATTGTGATCTCTAAACTGTCATCATGTTTTTTGAACTTTGCTAGAAGCATTGCAAAATATAAGTACTCTAATAACCCAGAAAGGCAAAATTACTCTAGTAATATACTTAAGGAACATTTTAACAGCATGACCAGTTAAGTTCATAACATCAAAGTCGATTATGACACATCTATAAGGTACATTTACTAGATTTTAATGAAATGTCATCTTTGAATTGGGAAGCTATTCTCTTTTTAAAACTTTTACACAGAGTCAAGTTTACTCTATTTTACACCAAGTGTGTAAAAATATTAGATAAAAATCCATATTCTTTGTCTTTTTTATTGAATTATTAGATAAAATCACTAAATCATGTAAAAACATTGCATTCCTTTCTTTGCCCTCAAATTTTATTCCTCGCCAATGCCACTCTTTGCTTCTGTGGCATCTTTACTGCTGCAGAACATAGTGTTCCGACCAGGATGGTTGCATAAACTTGTATGAACATGCTAATTTGAGAAGTAAACAATTTGGATTTTATTTTTTGTTAGGCATTCTTATAAATTAAGACACCAGACAATGTAGCAAGATACCAAAAATGAGCACAAGCTGGACATAGTTAGTAGTTGGGCTGGCAATTTTGCTCAACGATACGATTCAGAATGTTTCATGTTGGGTTATGATTTAAATTCTGCTTCAAGTTGGGTTATGATTTAAATTCTCAGCTCAGTTCAATCTCTAATTTATGTCAAGTGATATATCTGTATATATGTGTGTGTGTGTGTGTGTGTGTGTGTGTGTGTGTGTGTGTGTGTGTGTAATTCTTAGTTCTTGGTTTTGATTTGATTGAAAAACGTCTCAACTTACTTTTACTTTACAGCCAACATCTTTTAGTGTTTTAAAGATTTTGGGTTTTGAGCTCTAATTGATTTCAGGTTGACTTGAGATCAAATCATACTAAATTGAGATGACCTGCTCAAAATGCACTTCGATTTTAAGTTGAGTTTGAGTAGAGCTACACTCAAATATTTTGAATTTGAGACAAGTATGACTATTTTGAACTCAACTTTTAGCCACCCCTAGTTGGGACATAGGAGAAATTGCTTTGCATTATAAACCAATATTTTTAATGCTTAATCTTGAGTTATGATTACCGTTGCAAGGAACCTTTTCTCTACAGCATACTTCTGCTGTACTGTTTTCACATGAGGGCCTGATGTACATAATTTTAAATTTTGGGGCATTTGCATTTATACCACACAATTCTTATGTATTTACATGTCTAATACTTAAACTTTATATTTGCATGCTTAATACTCAAATCTTTATCATCACAACAAAAGTCCACCATTACTTTTTAAAAGTGAAATGCCTATTTTCATGCATAGGTTTATGACATTAAAGTGTTATAAATGTAATATGAAACTTAGGTGTTAGATATGTAAATGCATAAGAATTGTGCCGCATGCATGTAAATTTTCCTTAAATTTTTATTATATAATTGATGTAATTTAGATTTGTTTGTGATTGATAGGAATTAATTAATAAACTTTTCTAAGGTTGCATATGTGCATCTTTTTCTTCTTATTTACTTTATAAAAGTGGGCCAAGAGAGGGTGCATGTTTCAAAGCTTAGGCTTATAAATGTGAAATGGAAGGCAGAAACTATGGAGTAGAAGCTAATTGGGAAGCCATGAAGATTTAAATTTTAGGCAATTCCAAAAAATCTTTAATTAAATATGAAGAGGGTGATGCTGTTTAATACCATGATGATAAACATGCACAGCTATTCTCAGCAAGTGATTTGTACTTCGTTCTATTGACATCTGATTAATTTATTTGTTTGTAATATTGTACCTATTTGCACTTTGTTGATATATAATTAATGATTTCTTTAGCTAATTTCAACAAAGTTAGCATTCAATCTTTTATTTTATATCTTTTGACAGGTTAAAGGACTGTATAGAGGCGCATCATCTTCGTTCATTGGGATAGCACTTGAGAGCTCCCTTTTTTTTGGCATTTACTCCCAAACAAAGCAGCTTTTACAGGTTTCAGTGAAATACCAAAAAATAATTGTCTACCTTCTCTCTATATCCACATCTCTTTTCTTTTTTCTTTAGTAGAAAGCTGGGCCAGAGCCTTTCTCATTAATGAAGACTAAAGTAAATATACGAGAGTGGATTGCAATATCTCAACCTAGTGAAAAAGAAAAAGAGAAGGAAAGAAGATACTAATTTTATAATAAGATCATTTGCATCTCATTTATAACTCATATTATCTGATAGTCCAGCTTTCTCATGCTATTTTTATTAGTTTTGCTTTTTTCTTCTGGTTAAAATATATCTAGACATAAGCAAGTGACGATATTATTTTGAATTGAACTCATATTTTTCTATATCTTGTAATACTCTCATGTTTCTTTCATTCTAAATATTCCATAATCTTGAGAGGAAAGAAAATCCAAGTATGTATCTATGTTTGCGGATGAAACATTATTCTTTCTACCAGAGGAGAAAAATAGGTGATGCAATCTGATGCATTACTAATGTTGGGGATTTGAAAGAGGGATTAAATAATTTTAATAAAGAAGATATCAACACATCAACGAACTTTTGATCCTTGCGGCTTCTATTTAACTGACTTGCTTCTTCTTGTTGATATCCTCAATAAAACTTACTTTCGTTTCCCATATTAGTAAAGTGTCAAAATAGTCCCTTGATTATTTATATTGGGACATGTTATTCCCAGAGTTTATAAAATTGCTAAGTTAGTCTCGGAAGAGTTTTAATGGGGGGCTAAAGTGGTCCTTATTGGGGACCATTTCACCCATATTTAACCTGTCTGGAGACTAAATTACAATTTTATAAACTACGGGACTAAAATGGCACCCTGCAAAAAGTAAGTGTACTATTTGACAATTTTTTCTTTCTGATATTTACTTTCAGGGAGAATCCCGGAGCAGCAAGCCACAACTCCAGGTGATTATACCTTCCGGTGCATGCGTTGGCACAATAATTAGCTTAATACTTTGTCCCGTGGAACTAGTGAAGGTATGTTTAATCATACCCACATTTTCTTCTTAACTTCATTTCTCCTATTCCAATGAGATTGAAATCATTCCCACTTTTTGACGTATAATTCTAAGATTTTTTCCAGTGTAGAGTGCAAGTCCAGGGAAAGGATTCAGCGCTGTCCAGCTACCACAGATACAACGGTCCTCTAGATTGTGCTCTAAAAACTTTTAAGAATGAAGGGGTAAGCTCACTTATTTTCTCCCAATTTCTCCAACATTTCATCACCTGATTATCAATGAAAAACAGATGTAAGTACTTGAATTCTCAGATAAAAGGTATGTTCCGCGGAGGGCTCACAACTACGCTACGTGAATCAATCGGAAACGCCATCTTCTTTACCACTTATGAGTCGAGTCGCTATTACATACATTCTAAACTTAATCATGCTGAAGGCCAGGCCTCAAAAATCTTACAAGATGTGGGAATTGGGATCATAACTGGAGGATTATCTGGAATGGCTGTAAGTACTCTCTGTTTTTGATTTGCTTGTGATAAAGTTGAACTGTTCATAATGATGCTTTCACTTAATAGTTCTGGGCCACCGTTCTGCCATTGGATGTTGCAAAAACTGTGATTCAGACATCCCCTGATGCCAAATCTAGCCGCAATCCTATGCAGACGTTATACTCGGTATCTAATTTGGAGATGGAAGATTTACTTAGATACCACACATTTTTTATGTATTTACATATCTAACACCTGAACTTTAATTTTTACTATATCACTTTACCTTTGTATAAAAATATGTATTTTGCTTTTTAAAAGTTAGTAATAGCGGTATTTTGATGTCATAACAATGATTTGAGTGTTTTGTTAAGATTTGTATCTTTTTGAAGGTTCTAATTATAAATAGAAAATATAGATGTTTAGCGATTATTTGTAAAAAGATTGTAAGACTCTTTAGAAACCCAATTCATCAATGAAAAGAATGAGGTTTTCAAAACATTTCTTACTTTATGGTTTAGAGCCCTAACCTACTCGTCGCTGCTGTTCGATCTGACGAGTTGAGATTGACGATCAAGAGACCCGCGTGGCGTATGCAGGAGGGATTGCAGTTGCCGAATGTGTGGCCTCGATCGCGAGCTAGCTGAGAAGACCACGACGGGATCACAACGTGAAAGGCCAGTGACGAGATTGCGAGGTACAGAGGCCTGAAACTTGCATTTTCCTCTTTCTTCCACTTCACCCTTGCAATTTTGTCGCTATTAGAGCTAACTGGGAAGGCAACAACGGGATTGCCCGATGGGATCGCGAGGTATGAAGACCCAAAACTCCCATTTTCTTCTTCTTCGGCTTCATCCTTGAGAAGCAACAACGATTAGAGCTAATTGGGATGCCAACTATAGGTTTGAGGCTCGAACACTCGCGATTCGAGCTAATTACAGAGGTCATACATGAGTGCAACGAATAGACACGAAGGATCAAATTTGCATGTGATTTGTGTGGATTAGATTTGGATCCTTGTGATTGAGGTGTGTCAGGAGAAGGAGATGGCGCAGAAGGTAAATGATTGGAGCTTCTGGGGAAGATATATCCTGAGGTTCTGAAGGTCTTGATTGGACTTATTCAGGGAGCTAGCTTCTCAACGGGAGCTACTACCTCAACACGTACTTCGATGCAGGTGAAGTTAAATCTCCATCTCCCTTCTGTTGATCTAAAGCTTGATGGACCGACCATGTATCTAAGTTGGTTGCATTCGATCGAGATTGCTCTAGCAGAAAAGAGACTAGAGGGTATCTGACGGGAGTCAAGGCTAAGCATAAGATGACAGTACTGAGGGGGATGAGTGGAGGACGATGCATGCCTTACTTTACACTTAACTTCTCAAATCGATGATTCTATCAATTAACTCATCAATGGATGACATTCGAAAGATAAGTGAAATCTGAGCATATCTGAAGAGGACCTATGTTGGGGCTGAGAATCACATGAGGATGTTTCAGATTCAGTGTGGCATAGAGACATAGATATGGGGTGATAGATTGATTCAGGAGCACTCCATAGAGCTGGAGCAGCTGTGACAATATATTGATCACTTCTCATCTATGTCAAACTGTGGTGATCTGGGGTGCACAAAAGGGAAGATCATTGCACAGATAAAAACTATACAATTTTTGGCTCATATGAACCCGACCTTTGATTAGAGAAGATTAGTCCTTCTAGCCCATGCAACTATCCCTTCACTGGATGAAGCCATCGCTGCTATGATGCAGGAGAGTCGTATGAGGCTATGAGCTGAGTAGACTTCTAGATACGCGATCAACTTTGATTGCCTTGCACTTAGGAGTGACAAGTGTCCAAAAGAAGACTTGCAAGTACTACAACTGTGATGAAGTAGGTCATCTGAGCACGGTCTGTCTTAGGTCACCTAAGGAGAGAGAGGGAGAGATAGGGGGACGTGGACATTTTGGTGGACGTGGTCATGGTCGTGTTGGCCGAAGAGGTGGAAGAGGGAGCTATCGGGCAAATTTGATGGTAACAGAGGACGAGGAAGAGACGTGTGGTCTTTAACAATGATGATCACGAGTTTTTGGAGATGTTGAAGAGGAAACATAAAGCAACAGGTGATGGGGCTGAGAATGCAACAAAATTGCTCACTTAGATAAATGTACTCATGATACACATGCTCTTGCCGCTAGTTTCACTGCAAGATCACCATAAGGGATATCAGATTCTGGTGCAGCTGGACATGTGACAGGTATTGCTAGAGAGTTCTCCTCTTATACTCTACTAGCAGTTCGGGAGAGCATCCATTTTGCTCTTGGTACAAAACAACCTATAGTTGTAAGAGTATATTGAGGTGTACCGATTTCATGATTTTGTCCAATGTTTTGCATGCTCATTCCTTTCTTGTGAGCTTTTTATATATTAGTGTCATTATACTTCAAATAAAATGTGTTGTTTCATTTGATTCTTTTAAGGTGATTTTTCAAGAGAAGGGGACTGACCGGAGATTTGGGACTGACTTGTGACATAACGAACTCTGATACTTGGATAGAGAGGGGATGAACTCTGCCTTCACATCTATAGTATAGAATGCTGGAGTTGAAGAATTCGGGAGAAGTGTAAAGGATGTGTTGTTGTTACTTCACAGACGCGTGAGACACTATTCGTTTAGTCGATTGAGTCGTTTGTATCAGTGTTTGCGTGAAAAGACGTACAAAAATATGTGTGATGCTTGTGAGTTTGTTAAGCATACCAAGAGCTCTTATTTTAGTTCTGGCAAGTGAAGTTCTCGTTTTTTTGATTTGATGCATTCAAATATATGAGGATCTTGTACTACAACTTCGATGAATGATTATATATATTTTGTGACTTTTATTGATTTTTTTTCTCGTGTTACTTGGTTATATCTGATGAGAAACAAAAGTGATGCGCTTGCCAGCTTTAAAGATTTTCACAGGGCAATTCAGATTTAATACGGTGCTGTAGTGAAGGTATTGGGGTATGATAATGAGACATAGCTTACCAATAAGGCGTTTGTGGAATACTTGTCAACCCTAGGGATACAACATCAAACTACTTGTCCATACACACTGAGACAAAACATTTAGCGGAAAGGAAAATAAATATCTTCTAGAGGTAGCTCAAAGCATGATGATCACAATGACTGTACCAAAACTCATGTGGGGGCAAACAATTTTGACAATGACTCAATTGATCAACAAAATACCCTTGAGAGTGCTAGATTGGAAGTCTCATTGTCAGATATTGAAAGGAGATAATAACGAGATCCTCTCATTGAAGGTATTTGGTTATTTATGTTTTTTGAAGGACAAAAGATCTTCTGTAAGGAAACTGGATCATAGAGCTGTGAAGTGTGTTTTCGTTCGTTATTATGCTACCTAGAAGGGATATGTTTGTTGAAGTTGGTTAGAGAAGATACTATTTTTGAGCATGGATGTGTCCTTTAAAGAACTCGATTTGTACTACAGCGTAGAGGTGACCTCACACTTTGGTGACTTGCCATATACTGGAGGTATGAGGTGTGAGAGGGAGAGTAGTGATGATCAGAGATTCGTACATGTGACAACGATTCCTTGTCTTGTTGTTTGGGAAGGTCAGTTGAGGAACTCGGTAAATAAGGAGAATGAACCCGAAGTTGGAGGGATACAAGCTCAAGGGGAGCTGAGAGTGTGTACAAGAGGAGGAGACAGAATGAGGAAATAATGCCTGTCATGCCACTTGTGTCATCAAGTCCCTTGTCCCGGTTTACCCCGACTCTTGAGACATCTGCACTATCCACTTCTGAATCTGATTACCGAGGCAATATGTTTCCTCTTCCTTCTCCTCCCACTCCATAACTTTAAGGAGGTCCTCTCGCAACAATGCAGATCATTCTCCTGATCGTTATTCTCCTGGTTGTTTTGGTTTCTCACATGGCATTGCTTAGATTGTCTCATACTCTACATAACTCTTATACATGAGGCATTCATTGTACCTTTGGACATTGTCTCTATACAGAAGTATTGACAGGTAGTTAAGGAGGATCCAAAGTGAAAGACTGTCATGTTAGAGGAACTTGATGCTCTCAATAAGAATAAGACATTGGAAATAATACCACTACAAGTTGGGAAAAGAATAGTTGGGTGCAATTGAATCTTCACAGTAAAATAAAATCCAGAAAGTAAAGTGGAGCATTACAAGACACGATTGGTGGCGAAAGGGTACAGTTAGACGCAAGATATGACTATGACGAGACCTTTGCACCAGTCCCAAAACACTTTTGGGGACAAACAATTTTGACAATGACAAATACCCTCGAGAGTGCTAGATTGGAAGTCTCATTGTCAGGTATTGAAAGGAGATGATAACGAGGTCCTCTCATTGAAGGTATTTCGTTATCTATGTTTTTTGAAAGACAAAAGATCATCTGTAAGGAAACTTGATCATAGAGCTGTGAATAAGGGTGTAAACAAACCGAACACGAACGAGCAGAGCTTGTGTTCGTGTTCGGTTCGTTTGAAATTTAGTTTGTTTGAAATAAGCTCGTGTTTGAAATAATTTGTGAAACCACTGTTTGTGTTCGTTTCTTAACGAACGAGCCGAACACGAGCTGTTAGCGAACGACGAACCAGTTTGACATCCCTAATATTAATATATATAAATAATATATTATATTAATATATTATTATTATTATTTTATTATATATTATAATTTATAAAATTTAATGTTTTAAAATATAATAATTTTTTTATATATAATTATTTTAAATTATTTTATATTTCAAACAAAAACGATTCGAACATGAACGAACAAGAACGAACACATAACTATTCGTGTTTGATTCATTTAACTAACCGAACGAAAATTTAAAATTGTTCATATTCATTTCATTTATTTATTGAACGAATGAAATGCAAATTCATGACGAACTCATTGACGAACCGAATTCATTGACGAACCGAATACGAACTGTTCGTGAACAACGAGCTTTTTTGACAGCCCTAGCTGTGAAGTGTGTTTTCGTTCGTTATTCTGCTACCTAGAAGAGATATGTTTGTTGGAGTTTGATAGAGAAGATACTATTTTTGAGCATAGTTGTGTCCTTTAAAGAACTCGATTTGTACTACATCGTAGATGTGACCTCACACTTTGGTGACTTGCCATATACTGGAGGTATGAGGTGTGAGAGGGAGAGTAGTGATGATCAGAGATTCGTGCATGTGGCAACGATTC